CAACACTGAGATGTCACCATTTTCATTAGGATACTTGGTAAACGGCTCCAGACTGAGACTGATTGATTGATTGATTGATTGATATTTGGAGGCAGTGCCTTGCTCTGTTGCCCAGGCCGGAGTGCAGTGGTGCAAATCATGGCTCACTGCAGCCTCAACCTCCTGGACTGAAGTGATCCTCCCACTTCAGCCTCCCAAGTAGCTGGAACTACAGGTGTGCACCACGACACTCAACTAATTTTTTATTTTTATGTAGAGACGGGGTCTCACTTTGTTATCAGGGTTGGTAATTTTTAAACAAAATTTAGTATATATTAAGGGTTCTATTCACTATGCTAGGATTTTTATGTAAGAAAATATTGACATGGTATGTTTGTATCCAAGGGTGTCTCAGTCCATTTAGTGTTGCTGTCAAGGAATACCTGAAACTGGGTAATTTATTTTAAAAAGAGATATATTTGGTTCATGGTCCTGGAGGCTGTAAAAGAAGCCTGGCACCAGCATTTGCTTCTTGTGAGGGCCTCTGATGGCTTTCACTCCGCAGGGACGGGAAGAGGAGCCAGCATGCATAGAAATCACATGGGGAGAGAGGAAGCAAGTGTGGGAAAGAGGTGCCATGCTCTTTTTATCAACTGATTATCATGGGAACTAACAGTGAAAACTCATTGCTGTGAGGATGGCACCAAGATATTTATGCGGAGATGTGTAAATCATGAGTAAGACATTCATGACTTGTCCTGTGACCCAAACACCTCTCATTGGCCCCATCTCCAATACTGGGAATCAAATTTCAACATGAGATTTGGAGGGGTATATATAATACTATAGCACAGGGTATATATAATTAAGTTGACCTCAGTTTTTTTCTCCACCTTTGTTGTTGTTCTTGTTTGTTTGATTTTTGAGAGAGGGTCTTACTCTGTTGCCTAGGCTGGAGTGCAGGGGCGGGATCATGGTTCACTGCAGCCTTGACCTCCCAGGCTCAAGTGATCCTCCTACCTCACCCTCCTGAGTAGCTGGGACCACAAAGCAGGTCACCATTCCCAGCTTATTTTTGTATTTTTTGTAGAGACAACATTTCCCCTTGTTGCCCAGGCTGGTCTTGAACTCCTGATCTCAAATGATCTGCCCTCTCGCCTTGGCCTCCCAAAGTGCTGGTATTATAGGTGCGAGTCACTGGGCCTGGCCTTTCTTCACCTTTGATTGATACAGTTGATTTATAATTATTTGCAAAGTGACACCATTTAAAAAAAAATTTACGGAACAGCTCAAGTCATCTTGCGCTACGGTAAAGATCACAGGCCCTGGTATCCAGGGGAGCTGGGACTGCCTTGCAGCATGTAGATGGCCTCGGGCAAGTTATTTAACTTCTGTATTCCTCATCTGTAAAATGAGATAGGAAGCAACTAATATTGGAGCCTTATGTGGTTCTTGTGAGTGTGAAATTAAGAGGATGTGTAACGAGCATGGACTTGTTCCACAACACTCCTGTGCAACAAAACTTCACTTTATTTGTCCTAAATCAAATGAAATCTGGCTTTGAGTACCTATTCAAAAGGTATCAAGAAGTCAGGCTGGGCACAGTGTCTCATACCTATAATCCCAGCACTTTGGGAGACTGAGGTGAGAGGCCTGCTTAAGGCTGGGGGTTGGAGACCAACCTGGGTAACGTAGCGAGACCCTGTTCCTATGAAAAATGTAAAAATTAGTGAGGTATGGTGGCATGGCACACACCTGTGACCCCAGCTACATGGGAGTTTGAGATGGGAGGGTTGCTTAAGCCCATGAGTTTGAGGCAGCAGTGAAATATGATTATGCCACTGCACTCCAGCCTGGCCAAAAGAGCAAGACCCTGTCAGAAAAAAAAAAAAAAAGAATCTGTTATGTGTGGACGAGCCCATCCCGTAGATTGGTACAAAAGCCCAGGGGCTTCAGCTAATTCCTGGAAAACATGGAATTGGGTTGCTCTTTGTTCTCTAGTGGCACCTGTACTTCCATACTGGTGCTTTCTGGTGCCCAGCCAACTCCTCTTGTGCCTGCTGGGTGTGGATGCTGCAGTCCGCTGAGCAATGCTCCTCACAGAGGTCCTCCTTGCCGACCCCAGGCTCAGCCTCAACATCCTCACCTCCGTTGTAAGGCCTCAGATCCCAGAATCCTTCAACACACACCTCCTAGCCATGCTCCATTGGGCACACCTGCAACATGTCTTGGGGAAGAGCAGCTCTACCAGCAACTCCCACCCCCTCAGTCTCCACCACCTCTTCTCAGTTCACCAGACTTTCAAACCAATGCCTGGCTGAGCAGTTGTCCTCGGTGACTTGACAACTCCTATTTTCAGCCTAGAAACTCCCAAGGCAATAATATTCCTAGAGGGGAGGGAATCAGTCTCAAAATAGGATTGTATGACTATCTTCTGGTTGTCTTGGAATAGGGGAAAGAAAGACATTGCTCATTCTTTTGAGTCTCTTTCAGTAGCAAATTATGCTGCCACTTAGAGAAAGCTCTTAGTTGAGAGTTTGACATATAGTAATCCCACAATAACTGTTAACTATTAGTACTATCATTTTTATTTGACTCCCCTTTGGACAATAGGCAAGAATTCAAAGTGATCTCAGTAAATAAGACAACTAGAAAGTGAACTTAGAGAAACCAAAGCTGTCTAAAGAAAGAAATCTAAGTTGTTAAAAGGATGAAATATAAAGGCTTTGGGAGAAAACACTTGGATGACTTGATATGGAAAATTTTAAAAATGGAAACCCTACCTTTGTGTTTAAGCATATGTCATTTTATGGTAAAGACCCAGTCAGCTGTTATTCATTAATCCTAGGATTTAAAACAACACACAGTCATTTGACTTGTAGTGTTAAATCTAGGCTCGCCATTCACAAAAAAACTATCAATTACTCCCTCAACGTGGAGTGTTTAATAGAAGCTGTGGATTCTCCAACCCTAATGATGCCTTGGGCAGTTTTGAAGTTCATCTGCTTGCAAAGAAGAATTGGCTTAGTGGCTGCATTCGGGTCCTACTCAACACTGTGATGCTACATATGCTTTTGCCACATAGCAGGTAATCCTGAAAATTGTATTTTTTACAATGGTATATTTTTCATGTCAATTGACTATGCACAGAAGTAAGGTCCTGCTCTAAATATCAGGAATCTAGGTTTGTACCTTTGTATTCAGATAGGTTTCCTGGGTGACCTGAAGTAGCCATTTAACCTCTATTTGAATAAAGATGGGACAGAATTAAAATTACTTGATCTAATCCTCATTCAGCTTTAACACTCAGAGATATTTTTCCTTCAAATGTTCTTTCTCTATTGCTAATAAGGGTAGAATTAAGAATTCTTTTATTCTCAGAAAGTAGACTGTGGTCATAGTTAAATATTTACTTTAAAAAAAAATTTTTTTTTTTTTTTTTTGAGACGGAGTTTCGCTCTTGTTACCCAGGCTGGAGTGCAATGGCGCGATCTTGGCTCACTGCAACCTCTGTCTCCTGGGTTCAAGTGATTCTCCTGCCTCAGCCTCCAGAGTAGCTGGGATTCCAGGTACCCACTACCATGCCCAGCTAATTGTTTTGTATTTTAAAGTTTGTTTCTAAAAGGAAATCAAAGGTTTTCTTGTGGAGGAATTCAGTTGCCCCATTATTCTAGTAGAGTATTTTCATCAGTTGTCTTAATTTGAGGAAGCTTATTTTTTTTTTTGTGGGGCAGCTAATTTAGAACACTTTTGTTTCTCATCATGCCCCATGATGAGAATTTAGCAAATTAGGCTTTTCACGGCTCCCTGAGCAAGTTTTCACTTGCTTTGGGTTGGTGGGATTAACCAATCACACTTTTAAGCCGAGCCTTGGTGTTCAGACGCATGACCCACTTCAATTTCAGGTTTTCCTAATTCCTTGAAATCGGTCTGTCTTAATTCACCCATTTTACCAGGAGTTAACTAGACTGCATCTCATTAGTAGGTCCTTGTTTTAAAACTCTGAGAACAGAAGTTTCTTTTACCATTCATCTTCTACCCGTCTCTAAAATGTAGCTGTTGGTGGCAATTCTCTTCTTATTCTCTACAGCCTTGTCTCTCTCTAAAGAGTGAATCTCAGGATTGGGACACTGGATCCTTGACTGATTTCCATTTCATTTTTTCCTGTGTGCTCCAGTCCCTACCAGGTACTAGACTCTGATTGCCACCCTGTGAGCTGGTGACAAAACCTCTGCCCTTGGCTCTTTGTGTATTGTTTAGCTTGGCCTTCTCTTTCCAGTTTACTTTTTCTATCCTCTTCACACATCTTATAAAATTGCTAGGTAGACATATTTAAGCCAGCCTAGCTTTGCTACTGTAATGGTGCATAGAATTTATGTAGCAAGGCTGTAAGATACTTATCAAAACAAAGTCTATGTCTTACCATTTTTCTTATTTATTTAATTTATTTATTTTTCATTTTTGAGACATGATCTGTCTATGTTGCCCGGGCGGGACTGCAGTGGTATGATCATGGTTCACGGCAGCCTCCACCTCTCAGGCTCAAGCTGTTCTCCCACCTCAGCCTTCCAAGTAGCTGGGACCAACACGCCTGGCTAATTTCTTAATTTTGTGTAGAGACGTGCCTCCCTATGTTGCCCTGGCTGGTCTCAAACTCCTGGGCTCAAGTGATCCTCCTGCCTTGGCCTCCCAAAGTGTTGGGATTATAGGGTAAACTACCATCCCAAGCCCATTTTTATATGTTCCAAAACATGTAGTGTAGGTCTTTGACACAGGTACTCATTGAGTGGAGGGTAAGAGAGAGCAACAGAAAGAGATAAGAGGTTTGCTTAGAATATGATGTCTTCATGATGAGCTTAACCCTGGCTGCCTTTCAGAATTACTTAGATGATCTTTAAAACCATGCTAACAACTCTGCCCCACCCCCAGAGATTCTGGTTCAATTTGTCTGAGAAGACTTTTTTTTTTTAAGCCCCAAAGCTATTCTTGGTGAGCAAGACTTGTCATTATTAAAACAGTGATCGACCAATGGTGACAACTGCCAGCATATGTGTCTCACATGATGAATGATACATGTCTGAAACTCTGAGGTCCGAACCTGAAGGAGTCTAGTCCATGCCCTCTGTTTAGATGACCCCATAGAAAAATGTCAGGAGAGCAACATGGCCTATTCTTGTCTCTATGTTAATTTTTAAAAATATTTTAATTAAAATAGCAATGGCAGAGTCAATAAACATGTATAAATAAATAAAGTTGACACATAAATTACAAAAAAAAAAAAAAAAAAACAGTGATCATAAATGTTTTTGGACAAATGATGAAGACGTTGTCAGTGGGTATGATGATTGAGGAAGCTAGGACAAATGTATCTGTTATGCTGACATCTTAAAAGTTTTGTGCCCTAAATAATGTAGCAGTATTTTCCTTTGATTTTGACACTTCTGAGGCCCATAGACCCTGGTTGATATGGTTAGGCTTTGTGTCCCCACCCAACTCTCATTTTGAACTATAATCCCAAGGTGTTGAGGGAGAGACCTGGTGGGAAATGATTGGATCATGGGGGTGGTTCCCCCAGGCTGTTCTCCTGATGATGAGAGAGCTCTCTGGAGATCTGATGGTTTTATAAACAGCAGTTTGCCCTGGGCTTTTCACTCTCTGTCTTGCCTCCCATCACTTCCATCATGTAAGATGGGCCTGCTCCCCCTTCCACCATGATTGTAAATTTCTTGAGACCTCCCTGGCCATGCAGAACTGTGAGTCAATGAAACCTCTTTCTTTTATAAATTACCCAGTCTTGGTTAGTATCTTTATAGCAGTGTGAAAATGGACTAATACACTGGTGATCCTAGTTACATGCTGAGAGTAAACATAAATAATGCTGTTCCTTCCTCAGGGACTTAAGATAGATGATATGTTCTGACAGAGTAAGTCAGCTGAATGGTGGCAGTGACATATAATCCTGCTCCCCTGAGTGCTCATATATGGCACACAGTTACAGCAGCAGGTCTTTTAGGAAATTTGTTTCAAGAGGGTACTAAAGAAGAAAGTAACAGTTGGTGCAGAAATGCAAGTGATCCAAGCTACCCACCATATTTAGGCCTTAAATCAGCACAAAGCCTGCCTTCCTCCCTTCCTCACTTCTGTGTGGTCTGAGCTCAGTGAAGAGCCGCCTATGTCTCAGTTGATAATTTAATCCTTAAAAGAGAAAATCTTAAAAAAAACTAAATCAGTGATTGTCAAACTGTGGTTCCAGGATCTCTGGGGGTTTCCCAAGACTTTCAGGGGGTCTGAAAGGTTAAAATCACATATGGATAAAAGACTCATCAAAGTGTAGTATGAAACAATGGATTTTAACAACAGAATAAAAAGTATATGGTGTGGTTTGAGATTCCACTCAGTGACTTAACCTTGAAGAAACTACCCCGTGTCAAGTTTTGGTATAGCAAAGAACATCCACAGTTATCAGAAGGGGCTAATAAAATATTTTTCTTTTCCAACAACATATGTGTATGAGGCTGTACTTTAAAACAACAGATCAAAACAAACTGAATGAGGAAGCACAATAAGAACAGAGCTCTCTTCTTTCTTTGCTAATATCTTTAGTGAAGCACAGTATAACTAACATAAATTGCACATATTTAAAATGTTCAATTTGGTCAGTGTTGAGAGATATAAGCAATAAAACCTCAGTAACATCTGCATAGGTTTCCCCATGCCCCTTTGTATCCACTCATTCTTATACCTCTGGACATCCTCCCATACCCAGACAAATACTTACCTGCTTTCTATCATAAGTTAGTTTGGAAGTTTATATATTAAATTATATTTGTGTTTGTCAGGATTTTTACATTTAGCATAATTATCTAGGTATTCTCCATGTTGTAGCATGTATCAATAGTCAGTTCCTAGTATATTAGTGTGTAACATTCCATTGTATTAATATATCAGGCCAGGAGTGGTGGCTCAGCCTGTATCCCAACACTTTGGGAGGCCAAGGCAGGAGGATTGCTTGAGGCCAGGAGTTCAAGATCAGCCTGGGCAATATAGCAAGAATCTGTCTCTACAAAAAAATAAAATTAAATGTGGTGGCATCCCCCTGTAGTCCCAGCTACTTGGGAAGCTGAGGTGGGAGGAATTCCTTGAGCCCAGGAATCAGAGTAACAGTGAGCTATGATTGTACCACTGCACTCCAGCCTGGGTGAAATACATATATATTGTGATACATATCACACTTTGTTTATTCATTTGCCTTTTTATAAACGTTTAGGTTTCTCACTGGGGCTATTACAAATAAATCTGCTGTGAACATTCATATATAAGACTCTGTATAGACATAAGTTTTTATTTCTCTTGGCAAATATTTAGCAATAAAATGGCCATACAGTAAGTGTATGTTTAATCTTTTGAGGAACTATTAAACTGTTTTCTAAAATGGTGATACCATTTTATATTCTCAGCATCAGTGTATGAGGGCTCCAATTGCCTAACATGTTCACTAGTACCTGGTATGGCCAACCTCTTTTTTATTTTATTTTATTTTTTGAGACAGGGTCTTGCTCTGTCACCCAGGCTGGAGTTCAGTGAGGTGATCATGACTCAAGGCAGCCTTGACCTCCCTGGTTCAAGCAATCCTCCTGCTTCAGCCTCCCAGGTAACTAGGATCATAGGCATGTGCCACACTTGGCTAATTTTAAAAATTGTTTTGTAGAGACTGGGTCTCATCTGCTTGCCCAGGCTGGTTTCAAACCCTGGGCTCAAGTGATCCTCCTGCCTTGGCCTCTCAAAGTGCAGGAATTATAGGCATGAACCACTGTTCAAAAGGCAACCCCTTCTCTACCAAATTGCCTTTGCTCTTTTGTCAAAAATTGGTTGTCTGTATGTGTGGGTCTGTTTCAGGATTCTGTCTACTGTCTTGTTGCTCTGTTTATCTTTATGTAAATGCCATACTCTTGATTACTGTAGCTTTTATAATAGTTCTTGAACTCAGGTAAAGTCCTCCAAGTTTGTTCTTTTTCACAGTCGTTGCCTATTCCAAGCCTTTTGCATTTCTGTATAAATTTTAAAATCAACTTGTCAATTTCTACAACAAAAACTCTATTGGATTTTTGAATCTGTAGATCAATTTGGGGAAAATTGATATCTGTACAATATTGAGTCATTCAATCCATAAACACAATCTATCTCTTCATTCATTTAGTTCTTTAATTTCTTTCAGCAATGTTTTATAGTTTTAATATACAGGTCTTGTACATTTTTTGTCAGACTTACCCTTACATATTTCATTTTTGGATGCTATTATAAATGGCATGTTAAAAGTTTCTGTTTCCAATTTTCAATCATTTTTTGCTGGTACATAAAAATAAAATTGATTTTTGCTTATTAGTCTTGTATTTGGCAACCTGGCTAAACTCACTTAAGAATTATAAATGCTTTTCTGTTGTTGTCACAGATTCCATTGGATTTTCTACAAAGCAAACATATTTGTGATTAAAGATAGTTTTCCTTCTTCCTTTTCAACCTTCATGACTTTTGTTTCCTTTCTTTATTGCACTGGCTAGAACTTCCAGTACAATGTCACATAGAAGTGGTGAGAACAGCCACCTTGTTTCTGACATTAGGGGGAAAACATTCTTTACCATTAAATATAACACTAGCTATAAGTTTTTTAATGGATGGACTTCATCAGAATGAGGAAGTTGCCATCTATTTCTCATTTGCTGGGTATTTATCAAGAATTGATGTTAGATTTTATAAAAAATTTTTTTGCATTTATTGAAACGGTTGAGATGATTGTGTGGATTTTTCTTTAGTTCATTAATATGGCCAATTACATTGTTTGAATTTTGAGTGTTAAAACCAACCTGGCATTCTTGGGATAAACCCCACTTGGTTGTATATTATCCCTGTTAACATTTTGTCAAGAATTTTCATGTCTATGCTCATGAGAAATATTAGATTGCAGTTTTCTTTTCCCATTGTAACTCGTCTAGTTTTGGCATGCTAGTTTTATAAAATGAGTTGGGAAGTTTTCCCACGTCTTCATTTTTTTCTTGAGGGGACTTGTGTAGGATCATATTATTTCTTCCTTAAATGTTTGGCAGAATTCCCCAGTGAAACCATCTAGGCTTTGATTCCTTGTAGGAAAGTTTTGTAGCTATAAATTCAATGTATTTAATGAAAGTGATTTTGGGGAGCTTGTGACTTTGAAGGAGTTTCTCCTTGAGTAAGCTTTGATGGTTTGTCTTTCAAAGAATTTTTCCATTTTATCTAAGTTGTTCAGTTTATTGGCATAATTGTTTTTAAATTTCCCTTGTTGTCTTTTTATTTAATTTTTAAAAAAAAGAGGCAGAGTCTCCCTCTATTGCCCAAACTGGAGTGTAGTGATGGTATAGCTCACTGCAGCTTTGAATTCCTGAGCTCAAGTCATCCTCTTGCCTCAGCCTTCCAAGTAGCTGGGATTATGGGTGCACAACACCATGTCTGTATTATTTTTTAGAGCAATGGGGATTTGCTGTGTTGCCCAGGCTGGTCTCAAACTGCTGGCCTCAAGTGATCCTTCCACTTCAGCCTCCCCAAATGGTGGGATTAAAGGGGTGAGCCATCATGCCCTCCAACCTTATTGTGTTTTTAATATCCGTAGAATCTAAAGCGATGTTACCTCCCTCATATCCGGTATTAGAAATTTATATATTCTCATTGCCCCCTGTTTAGTCTGGGTAGAGTTTTATAAATTTCATTGTAATTTTCCAAAAGACAGGTTTTGATTTTACTGATTTTTCTCTGTTGTTTTTTATTTTCCATTTCATTGATTAACATTCTGATATTTGGTTCTATTATTTTGCTTTTTCCCCTCAAGTTTTATAAGGTGGCAGCTGAGGTAAGTGAGTTGAAACCTTTCTTCTTTTCTAATATAGGCATATAACGCTAAAAATATTTACTAAATACTGTTTTAGTGTCATCCCACAAATTTACATATGATTTGTTTTTTTTCATTTAATGCAAAATACTTTCTAATTTCCTTTTATTATTTGACACATCAGTTATTTACAATTTTTTTTTTAAATGGTGTCTTGCTCTGTTGCTCAGGCCTGGAGTGCAGTGGTATGATCTCTGCTCACTGCAACCTCTGCCTCCCAGGTTCAAGTGATCTTCCTGCCTCAGCCTACTGAGTAGCTGGGACTATGACGTGCACCATCACATCTGGCTAATTTTTGTATTTTTAGTGGAGACAGGTTTCACCGTGTTGGCCGGGCTGGTCTCAAACTCCTGACCTCAAGTGATCCACCCACCTCAGCCTCCCAAAGTACTGGGATTACAGACGTGAGCCACTGCACCCTGCTTTTAGTTTCCAAATACTTAGGGATTTCCAAATATTTGAGAAAATCTTTCTGTTGTTGATTTCTAGCTCAATTTCACTGTGGTTAGAGAACATGTTTTATAAAAGTCAAATCCTTTAAAATTTATTGAGAATTGTTTTATATCCACGAATATGGCCTATCTTGGTAAATGATCCATGTAAACTTGGAAAGAATGGGTGTTCTGCTGTTATTTGTGAAGTATACAATAATTGTCAATCGGGTCAAGTTGGTTGACAGTGTTATTTAAGTTTTCTGTATATTTACTAATTATCTGTTTACTTTTCTTATCAGTTGTTAAGGAAGGGATATTGAAATCTCCAACTATAATTGTGAATGTGTCTATTTCTCTTTTAAATTCTATCAATTTTTGCTTTATTTATTTTGAGATCCTTTTTAGGTACATATATGTTTAGTATTGTTATGAACTCTTGAGGAGTTGATGTCTTTTTCATTATGAAATGCCCCTCTGTATCTCTGGTAATATTCTCTAGGCTGAAATTAACTGTCTAATACTAATGTAGCCACTCCAGCTTTCTTTTGATTAATGTTATCATGGCATGTATTATTCCATCCTTTTACTTTTACCAAACTTGTATCTTCTTTTTTTTTTTTTTTTTTTTTTTGAGATGGAGTTTTGCTCTTGTTACCCAGGCTGGAGTGCAATGGCGCGATCTCGGCTCACTGCAACCTCCGCCGCCTGGGTTCAGGCAATTCTCCTGCCTCAGTCTCCCGAGTAGCTGGGATTACAGGCACGCGCCACCAAGCCCAGCTAATTTTTTGTATTTTGAGTAGAGATGGGGTTTCAACATGTTGACCAGGATGGTCTCGATCTCTTGACCTCATGATCCACCCACCTTGGCCTCCCAAAGTGCTGGGATTACAGGCTTGAGCCACTGTGCCCGGCCAATTTTTGTTTTTTATGAGGCAGAGTTTTGCTCTGTTAACCAGGCTGGAGTGCAATGGTGTGATCTTGGCTCACTGCAACCTCCACCTCCTGGGCTCAAGTGATCCTCCCACCCCACCGTACCAGTAGATGTGATTACAGGTCCACACCACCACATTTACATTTTTAGTAGAGACGGAGTTTCATCACGTTGCGCCGAGTGGTCTCAAATTCCTTGCCTCAGGTAATCCTCCTGCCGCCACAACTGGGCAAAATGTGATTATTGATATGGTTGGGTTTTAAATGTGATGAATGACAAGGCTGGATTTAATAAAACGTTGCTTTTTTTTGTTTGTTTGTTTCATTAGTTGTTTCCTTTTACCTTTTCTTCTGCCTGCTTTTGGATTGAACATTTTTATAATTCCCTTTTATCATTTTTGTTGGCTTATTAGCTATAGCTATTTGTTTTGTTTTGTTTTAGTGATTTCTTTAGGATTTGTTTTATACATCTTAAACTTACCATAGTCTATTTTCAATTGCTGTTGCACCACTTCACATATCGTAAAAGAATTTTATAACACACTTGCATTTCTACCCTCTTGCATTTGTGCTATTGTCATGTATGTTACTTCCATATATGTTATAAATGCCACAGTGCATTGTTATTATATTTATTTTAAATAATTTATTATTATTTCAAGATATTTAAGTGATAAAAATGGTATTTATTGCCGGGCGCGGTGTAATCCCAGCACTTTGGGAGGCTGAGGCGGGTGGATCACGAGGTCAAGAGATTGAGACCATCTGATTAACATGGTGAAACCCCGTCTCTACTCAAAATACAAAAAATTAGCTGGGCATGGTGGCGCGTGTCTGTAATCCCAGCTACTCAGGAGGCTGAGGCAGGAGAATTGCCTGAACCCAGGAGGCGGAGGTTGCTGTAAGCCGAGATCGGGCCATTGCACTCCAGCCTGGGTAACAAGAGCGAAACTCCATCTCAAAAATAAAATAAAATAAAATAAAACTGTATTTATTGACATAATTACCAGGCTGGGCTGTTTCATCCATTTAAGTAGCTCTAGATTTCTAGCTATTGTTCTTTTGATTTTGCTTGAAGAACTTTGATTAATGTTTCTTTTAATGCAGATCTGCTGGTGACAAATTCATTCAGCTTTTGTCTACCTGAAAAAGTACTTTATTTTGCTCTTACTTTTGAAGGATTTTTTTTTAATCAACTAAGACTTATAGTTTGGAGGCTGGGTATGGTGGCTCATGCCTGTAATCTCAGCACTTTGGGAGGCTGAGGTGGGCAGATCACCTGAAGCCAGGAAACTCTCTCAAAGCAATTGTACAGTTCATCTGGTTTGTTCTCCATCCCTCCAGAAATCACTATCCTTCATTTCCTAACGTCTTAAGAACTATTATTTTATATATTTTGTCCAGTTTCTTAGCTGTTTCAAGCAGGAGGATAAATCCAGTTCCTGTTATTCCATCTTATTTTAAAGCAGAAGTCCCAGCCATCTTTTAGCAAGTTAGATATTAAAGGTAGTTACAAAGATTTAAAACAATTCTATACTTGAAGTCATTCTTTTTGGAAAATATCATTATTTTCATAGAAATATTTCTATTAACATGTTTGCTGGGCGCAGTGGCTCATACCTATAATCCCAGCACTTTGGGAGGCCAAGGTGGGAAGATCATCTGAGGTCAGGAGTTCAAGACCAGCCTGGCCAACATAGTGAAATCCCATCTCTACTAAAAACACAAAGAAATAGCCGGTCATGGTGGCAGGCACCTGTTGTCCCAGATACTTGGGAGGTTAAGGCAGGAGAATAGCTTGAACCCAGAAGGCAGAGGCTGCAGTGAGCTGAGAACACACCGCTGCATTCTGGCTTGAGTGAGAAAAAATAAATTATCAAAAAAATTTTCCATTAACATATAATTGGCTTATTGCTATCATCAAATTAACAAATCTTTAAAAATTTTTTGGTTTAATTTTGAACATGATAAATCCTGATACAAATAACTCATGTAAATAAAAGGTCTTTGGATTTCTCAATAATTTCTGAGGATTAAAGGGGTCCTGAGAGCAAAATGTCTGAGAACAACTGATCTGAATGAACTGATGTGATTTCTGTTTGGATTGAAGGAAACGAAAATATTTTTCTTTAAAATACTGAGGATTATGGAGCTGAACAAAGTTAAAATGCAGGGGACACTCTGCCCTTCCTTCTGCTTGCCTGATGATGGGACAGTGACTCACCTCCTCTGCTCCTTGCCTGCCTCAAGACAGAGATGTAAATTCTCACTTGCTCATCAGCCCAGGCACCACAGGGCCAGGGAAATCTGGGAGCAAACTCCTTGCCTGCCTCAAGACAGAGATGTAAACTCTCACTTGCTCATCAGACCAGGCACCACAGGGCCAGGGAAATCTGGGAGCAAACTATGCTACCTTCCCACAGTTTTCTATCTTCTCACTCCTCTAAGAGCTCTTTGTTGAAATATGACTTGAGGCCAAACTGCAAGCCTTTGCCTTGAAAGACGCCCATGAACTGAGGTTCCTCCCATGTGATGTACTCTGCATTGCTTTTCTCTTGTTAATCTGTCTTTAGCTACACAAAGTTTTTCTCAGCTGTAAACTTTTGAGGGTTGGGAAATTTATTATATTTGCTCCCCTTTAGGATGCTTGAACTGGGCAGTTAGGTAACCCAGGTGCTGGGGAAGACATGAGTATCAAAGATGAGAAGGCTCGTAAACAGGGAGAGGAAAGAACAAAGAAAAGCAAAAGTTAAGAAGCCATATAGCCCTGCGGAGACACAGAAAATAATACAGATTTCTAATTTTCCAATGGCTGTCTAGACATTTGGGAGGCCCTTGGGATCTTTGAGATAATCTTAAAAATAAATTCCATGTATTTTCCTTAAAGAGGAAAATAACACAAAAGAGAGAAAGTAAAGCACAGTGGTAGGCTCGAAAGGAAGATATTTGTATTTGGGGAGTCCAGGGTCATTTTAACATCCAGAGATTCCGGTGTTCTGACAAAGGCTGACACTGCTCATGCTGATCAGGCAGGGATAGAAGGTCACATGGCTGGAAAGCGTCTCTCCAACCCTGTGATTCTAGGGTTATTTTTAGTACACTGGTTAATCCATTGGCATTGTCTACTCTTGGCCAACACTCTCCAGGGTTTAGTTTCTCCACATTTACAAAAGGAGTGTCAGAAAACTTTGTAGGTCTTTGTTTCCAAGTGAGAGAAACTTATATCAAATTAGCCTAAGCACAAAAGAGCAAATATTGACTCACATAACCGGAAATCAAGTTAGGCTAGTGCTGACTCTGGCATAATTGGATCCAGGTGTTCAAATATTGTCATCATGACCTCACTCTGGTTTTTCTTTCCTCCTCCTTTTCTTTCCCATTCAGCCAAGTTTTCTTCATTCAGCTGCAAAATAGCCCCCAGAAGGTTCAAGCTCACATGTACCTTTTAGCTTGAGCCGGGAGATAGAAACAGATGCCCTCTCTCCCAGCATCCAGTTCCAATCCCATAAAGACTGTTTTATTGGCTTTACTTGGTTGCACACCCATCCTTTGAACCAATGACCTTAGCCATGGCTATGTAGTGCCAACATGGGCCAGACTGGGTTAGGTGCCCACTCCTTAGGCAAGGGGTGGAAGAGGAATTGGAATTGGTGGTCCTACCAGAATTACATGGAATGAGCGGGGGGGCGGGGGGCAATTTAGTAAACAGATGGGTGCTGGACAATGGTAACCTGCACCCTTGAAGTGTTGTGAATTGAAGCAAACTGTGCCCACGTTTAAGATTTTTTAAAGGAACAGTCATGTGGCCACTATAGCATTGTTGGGAGTTTGACGTTTTCTTCTGAGTTCCTGCAATCTCTTCCTAGGAACAGTTTAATCTTTTTCTATTGCTTTTCAAGTATTTGAGTAAGATTTCATTTTTTGCTCCAAGGCTTTTTACCAACTTTTGTTATATCAAGAATAGTCAGCTCAACCTAGAGCATTCGCAGTCAGCGACTCCAGGGTCTGCCAACACACTCTTGTTTCCTTTCCAGTCTAAGTGTTTTCTACCCAAAGAAAAGTTTTTCTTTAATTCTGATGTATAACAGAGATGTAGAGTCAGTCAATATAAAAAGACAACAAATCAATAAAAAAGCAAAGAGGAAGACTGGCACAGTGGCTCACACCTGTAATCCCAGCACTTTGGGAGGCTGAGGCGGGTGGATCACTAGAGGCCAGGAGTTCAAGGCCAGCCTGGCCAAGATGGTGAAAATCCATCTCTACTAAACACTAGCAGGGTGTGGTGGTGCTTGCCTATAACCCCAGCTATTCGGGAGGCTGAGGCAGGAGAATTGTTTGAACCTGGGAGGCAGTGGTAGCAGTGAGCTGAGATTGCACCACTCATTACATTCCAGCCTAGGTGACAGAGCAAGACACCATTTGAAAAAAAAAAAAAAGGAAAAAAGAAAAAGAAGAAAAAAAGCGAAGAGGGTGATTTCTTGATACGGAGTGCTCATCGGATTTAATTTTTAGTTGACTATTCCCATCTAGCCTCCTTGGGAGTGGAAAGGAAAGTGAATACATAGGTAAAGGGCTTCCTCACTGACCAGAAATACGTGGTATGCAAGACGTAGTCTGCTCTCCCTGAGATAGTGGCCCTTAGTAAAAAGCTCGCCCTACTAACTCACCTTTGAATCTTCTTCCTGTGTTTTTCTCCATTTTTTTCAGAAGAACTGAATGAAATGTAGAGTCTGGATCTCCTTACTCAGAAAAATAAGGTCAATAGTATTACTGGAGTCGTAGTTTTAGAATGCACTTACGAAAGCAGGAACCGCCTCAGGAAACGGATCTCTCAGACACTGAACTAGGAAGGAAGGGGTGATTTACTTTACCCAGGAGCAAGGTGGCATAGCTGCCTAATAGCCAGGCTCCGCTAACGGCTAACGAAAAAAGCTCTGCCTTTATAAAGGCGTACGACTCTAGAAATTACACGTGAAAGGGTCTTGGGTTTACAGCTTTAGAAATTACATGTGAAAGGGTCTTGGGTCATGGAGCAGGCTTGGAGTATGTGGCTTAGGTGGGGGTTTGATCTTGTTTAAGTAAAAACAATGCCTCTGGAAAGATTCCCCCATACCATGCCTGTGATCTATATGAGGGCGATTAAGGTGGCCCTCCTTAGTCTTTACTTCCATTGAAATGCAGTGTGGAAGTTAAGGGGGAGGTGGTCTTAGATGCTTAGGTCTCCCTCTTCATTATCACCTACACATTAGGTTTAAATTTGTGCTATCAAAATGAAAAGGCAACATGGACGGTGCCTATTATATTCTAGGATGCTTAAGCAAATAAATTTGCATTTAGAATTAAATATAAATATAAATGTAAGGGTTATTGCCGAGTTTAAAATGAGGAAACTGAGGTCAGTATAAGAAAATTAAATGCCAATTTATTCAGCTCCCTGGCGAGGTTCTAAGGTCCTGGACAAGAGGGTCAGAGAAGTCACGCTGACTTCCTGGGGCGTGGGGTTTTTATGGCTATAAGAACCGAGCAACAGCTGGGTGCTCTGATTGGCTCCAGGGGAGCGGGATTGGGACGGGGCGGGCCGCTATTGGTTGGCGGGTTGTTGGGCGGGTTTTCCGGTGCGAAAGCCGGCCAGGGTTGCATCAGCTGGAGCCTTCCAGGGGAGCCATGCGGCAGAGCTAGGTGCCCAGTGCAGAGCCTGGTGCTGGATGCAGAGTCAGGTGCTGAGTGCAGAGGTGGGTGTGTCTGGCCTCCCTGCGAGGCAACCGGCCTTACGATAAAAATTAAAGTAAGAGGCTGCTTTGCCTATGGAGTAGCCATTCTTTATTCCTTTACTTTCTTAGAATTAAAATATAAGAGCCTTGATCTTCCACAGACCCAGCTGAGTGACAGTTCAATAAGAGGCAAGAACCTCCCGTTCACTTGTGATGTGCCATTAAATGGGTGGGCTGCTGTTCAGAAACATGCCAAAATGTTGGCAGAAGTTGTCTCTGGAATATGCACAATTTTGATTTTATTTTTTCTACTCTTCTATGCAAATTTTCTGCAATGAGCACATACTACTCTCACAATAAAAAATAGCTGAAAGAAATTACATCTGTACTGAATTATATTAGACTGGTACAATAATGGCAGTTTTCATCATTAAAGTAATGGTGAAAACTGCGCTTACGTTTGCACCAACCTAATAAATGTTGTTGATCTATACCAAAAAGTCTGTTTAAGCAAGATATGCCTACTGAATGAGGCTGGCTGGCAGCCAGCAAATGCCTTGACTTGAACCCCACTTGAGGCGCTCTGTCCTGACTGTGGAGAAAGGGTCCTGGAGGAGTTGGAATGGGTACCCACATCAGGATCCTTTGCCAGGCCATTAGGCTATGAGCACCAGAAGGCCTCTTAGAACAAACCCAGAGGGACTCTGGAGTTTAAGTGAGGTCTCCAGTACCCAGGGTTTCAGACTGAATCAAAAAGAAGGGAATTCTCCCCAACTTGCAGGATCGAGGGCTGGGGTGGGGATGGGAGCATGTCCTTGTCAGTGAGAAGGGGCAGTTGCAGGTGGGGCAGCCATAGGTGTGCCACCCTTCTCACGGGCATCAGGCCCCTGCCCTGAAAGTAGATGCTTTACTCTCAACCCTCTCCTCGCTGTGCCCTCCCCCAGCCATTTTCATCTGACTCAAAACCTGTTCTTTAAGTTTTCCATCGAGCCTGTTAATAAGACCAGCAAGCGTTTGTTGGTTATCTCTGAACCAGCTGTAAATTGTCCTTATGATGTCTCAGTGACCACACATGAGGTGAAAATGATTTAGCATCATTTATTGGATTCTCAGGATGACATTTATCATCTTGAGAGACAAGCATGCTTAGTTATAGGATGTGCTAACACTGGGGCAGATCATTATCACTGGTGTGGAAATTTAAACGTATCAGAGTATAGTCTTTCTTTCTTCTTTCTCTCCTTTTCTTTCTCTTTCTCTTTTTTCTTTCCTTTCTTTCTCTTTCCCCTCCCTCCCTTCCTTCCTTCCCTACTTCATTCCTTTCTTCCTTTCTCTTCCTTCCTTCCTTCCCTTCTTTCTCTCTTTCTCTTTCTTTCTTGACAGGGTCTTGCTGTTACCCAAGCTGGAGTGAGTGGTGCGATCACAGCTCACTGCAGCTTGACCTCACTGCAACCTGTAGTCCCAACCTTTAGTGGCTTGAGGTGGCTCAAGTGATCCTCCCACCTCAGACTCCACAGTAGCTGAGACCACCCTTGTGTACTATTGTGCCTGGCAAATTTTTTTTTTTTTTTTGGTAGAGACAGGGTCTCATATTATTGTCCAGGTTGGTCTCAAATTCCTGGACTCAGGTGATCCTCCTGCCAAAGTGCTCCTCCCAAAATGCTGCGATTAGAGATGTGAGCCACTGTGCCTAGCCTGTTTGTTTTAAAGAAGAAAGAAAAGAAGCCTACTGATCCTATAGTGGAAATTTGCATATTCTTCTATAACTAGGTTAACTTGTATATTTTACTTTTTTTCTGGTTAATAAGACCACTTTTGATGAAGACATGATCACCAAAACAGTCTGTTTCTCTACTTGAGTAAAACATATTGGAGAGAACAGAAGGCTTAGAGCGACTGGTCTTACCAGAAGCTAACTACAGTGGGCTGCCATGGAGTGAAGCAAAGGAAAGTTCTGTTAGGAAGCTTGGAATTTTCATTACGTCATAGACACTGTGGATAATCTTATTTGCCACATGCAAATGTTAAAATAAGGAAATGGCTACAGTTTATTTCTCCCCAAGATCGTAAATCAACCAGTAATTTCATATGAACAAGCAGCTTGCAATACAGTGTTTTAATGAATCTAACATGCCGTTTGTTATAAAATACATCATTGTTCTATGTATGACGAAGAGAGAAAAAGCACTGCCATTGATTGTGAGATACTAAATGTGAAAAAGTGAGTGTGGAAATTAACAAAAGAGGGTATATCCTTCTATGTTTGACGAACCCGTTCTAGCATCCTTCCTGCCCCTTTCCATTAATATTTAAAGGTATTATTTGACTAGTTTGACAACATTAATCACAATGAAAATAGGTGCTCCACTTTAAGCAACACAAATATGCCGTTCACTGCTGAATGCCCTAATCTTAATGGTGTTTTAAACACTGATGAAATGAAGCTAGTTTGTGTTTCTTGAAGTGATTAAGTAAAACAAGCACTCAGTCTTTAGGCAGACCCAAGATAGCCATCATCAGGAGAAATGGCTGGGTCTTCAAGTGTTCAAGGGATTTGTAATGAAAATGTCATTTTGTCTCACTCCTACCTTCGTGAGTACTTGTTCCTAACAAATCCTTGGGATAATAACATATATTCTTTTTTTTTTTTTTTTTTTAGAAGGGCTCCAAATTCAGGCTTATATTAATCAGTTCACCCTAGGTAGTTATGGCATGTTCTTCAAGAGTATAACAAGCAGAGTTTTTTCAGCAACAGACTTTTCCTAGCAGAAGCTAAGAAAAAACTTAGCGAAGAAAATGTAGATGGAAAATGTCAGGAGTGAAATTGGGTTTCTATTTTGAGGCTAGTGAACCATTATGTTTTAATGCATTCAGGTTCAGACTGATTCATAGCCAATGACCACGCAAGTTAAAGCCTGAGGGAGGAAACCTCACCACCACGCAGTGAATTCTGGCTATGTCAGGAGTCAGGGCATTGGAGGTAAGGGCCGGGTCTCAGTTTCCTCACCAAGGCTCTTGGACTGGATGGTCTCCAAGCCCCCGTCCATCTATGATGCTGTGGTCTCTCCAGAGGTCATTATTGGGTCACAAGCTGAACCCTGGCTCAGCCTCCCCTGTGAGGAGGTTTGCGCTGAGCAGTTGTGTTGTGGTGCCAAGGGCTTCTGGCTTCACAGCGGCACAAGACCTCACACTTAAGATTCCGGGGCCTTGCAAAGTGGTCTCTGAAGTTGTTGTTGTGGCTGCCCTCTATCCAAACATCCTTTCTTATTGGAAACAATCCCAAATGAGGTGAGCACAGGGTCTAGCCAGCTGTTGCAGAGGCTGCCTGGAGGACGTTGGCACATGCCAGGGCCTGCTCAAGCACAATGGCGGACAGAGAGAGCGAAAACGTCCTCAGGTGGCCTCAGCAGCAGAGGTGGGCACCGAGCAGCACCTCATCCTGCATCCCAGGGCAGCGTTCAACCGGATGGTGCTAGGAGTCGGGTCTGGCTGTGTTCTCATGGTCCAGCCTCTCTTTGTTCCTGCCCACTCTCTGAGTCTGGTTTCTTGTCCTTCCCAGGGGTTCTCATTACAGCTGTCTTCGATTTCCACTAGTTCCCGTTGTTTGCCACTAAGAACTCAGACTCCCTGATGTCCATCAAGGGCAGTCTGTCCTGTGCTGGGGAAAGCCAGAGAAGAGGGCCAATGCAGAAAAGTGGCACTGGAGGATGCCTGGAGTGGCCCTCCCAGACCACCTGAGGGGTTAGAGGGCTCTGCAAGAGGAGCCGTGCTGATAGATGGTCTACACTCCCTAAGAGGGACCCATCCGCTTCCTTCTCTCAGTCTTCCCACCTGTGACCACGAATGCTTGCTGCTGCCCTGGGCATGTAACTAAATGCTGTTTTAACAATCAAGTTTTATTGATGCTTCTTATGGGCTGTCACTACACCTACAGAGGTGCAGGAAACTCTGGCAGCACAAGATTTGCACCAAACTAGACAGGAGGCGGCCTGGGACATGGAGGCAGGTGTGGGAGCTCTCTTCTTTGCCTGCTTCCCTTGGGGGATTTCAATGCTTCTCTCTTAAGCCAGTGAGATTTTTGTCATGCCCCTACCCCAATCCCCAACATAGACAATGTCCTACATCACAGTGCTGGGGTAAAATGGATTTCTTTCTTTAAGAAAAAAAAAATTCACACTTCTTCAGGCCCTGGGGAATATAGTTCCTAGCATTTAA